GATAGACAGCTACATCGGTCATTGCATGCAGCTGATTATTATTTGAACCCAGCTTTTTTTTATGTTGATAGGGATATACACACAAATGACACAATTATGACTGATAAGTGTATAGACATGCTAGTCCCTGATCCAGATATCCCGGATATTATATATATTGATGAGCTGATTACAAGTGTGCATTTGGGAGTCCAATGGCGATAGGCAAAGGACGAAAATTGATGAGTTCATCAAGTTCAAGTAATCAAGTTTCATTTCTGTAATTTTATTATTTATTTATGATTTTATTCTATATCTTTGCAGCCAATTGGTAGAGCCAACATGGGTGTAGTGCTCCAAATTTACAAAAGTTGGCCATTCGGATTTTAAACCTAACCACTAACTCGTTCGGTTGTGAGCGGAATTGGAGTACTTTTGAAGGGGTGAGGGTAATTTGCATTTGTAATTTAGTACTTTAGTAGTTATTAGTTTTGACTATTTTGTAGTATTAATATTATATATTTAATTATTTATATTAATTAGTTTCATTTGATTTTGTTAGATTCATACAAAGAAAAGGAACAAACTTGAATTAAAGAGGCTCAATGACCTAGTCTATGTCAAGTATAATCGATTCTTGAAGGACAAGTTTGCTAAGAGATACGAGAGACCCCCTCATATCAAAAAATATGGACAATGCTATAAAATCGTTGGTCGATGATGATTAGGTCGCGGCGCATGAAGGATTGACATGGGACATGGTCATGGATGCTTCAGGGACATCAGTCGATCCTCCTAGGGCCAATAGATCTTCTTCACAGAGGACGAGGGTGAAGGCAGAGGAGGAAGCAGAGGCAGAATTAGAAGAGACAGAGGAGGACAACCATTATGTCGATGAGGGAGATGATGACAATGATTATGCCATCAATTCCGATGCATATGATGCAAATGTAGCTAACCCTACTTTTTTTGATGATGAATGATAAATGATGAATGATGATTGAAGATACTTTTGAGCCTTCAAGTATTTCTTTCATTTTTGTTTTCCTCCTCTTGGTTGTGTATTGTGGATAGTGGATTTGTGGTTCCACTAGTTTGATATTTGGTAACTTTGGTAATTTAGTTGGTAAATTTTAAGCTTTAACTATGTGTGGAATGTGGATTGTGGACTATCAATCAGACTATGGATAATTCATAATTGGATATGGACTTATCTTTATGATCTTATGGAGTGTGTGCTCCTATGTGCTGTGCAGTATACTTTTGAATTTTGATGTGCCATAAGTCCCTAATTCTTATGTTCTATACAGTTATACTTATATTGTTAGAGACTATAGAGACATTTTTCTTTCTACTGGGCCGCCCAGGTTCTGGGCGCCCGCCTAGGTGCAAGGCGGCCTAGACCCCCAAGCCGCCTAGGAATCGCCTAGCGCTTTTTGAAACACTGAAATATATATTCTCATAACTAAGATGGATGGCTTCAACAATAGGACTTAATAAAACAATGGGTTACTCTAGACTATGCCTAGTTCAAATTAAGAATCTAAAATAATGAACTTCGTGCTATGTGAAAAAGGGACAGGATTTTAACATCATGGAATTTATGATTCCTAAATAATGGGAACTTCGGACAATGGCATTCTCTAACCTGGTATTATCCGTTAATGAAGGAAGAACCCACAAACATGGAACCCAAGATGTTAATGTACCAAAACCATGGATCGTGGTTGATGAGAGCGGGGATCTATTTCGAAATGGAACTGAAGGAATGGAAGAAACGGGGTCCCTACAAGATCCCTTGCAAGAAACATGGGATCGAAGTTCCGGCGCGGGATCGTCACCCTACCCACAAGGTTCCCTTAACTATGGGCCACTATTATTGAAAACTCACTTGTCTCTCCACTAGTTGGCCTCACATTAATTAGCGCTCCCTTGTACATGGCCCTCACCATATCAGTGTACCCTCTAAAGACTCCTTTCTTGTCCAACACCCATCAATCAACTTTCTAAGTACCCTATCATAAGCCTTCTCTAAATTAATAAAGAGTTAAAGACTAAGTGGAGGTCTTTCTTGTTATCCTTAAACTTCTCAATCAATTGCATAGTAGGAAATGGTCCGAATGGTTGACCTCCCTGACATAAAACCAAACTGATTTTTTGATAGCTCGTTGCATTTTGTAGTCATTGCTCAATCACTCTCCCCCACAGCTTCATAGTGTGTAGCTCATAAGTTTGATCCCTCGATAGTTCACACAACTTTATATTTGTCCTGTGTTCTTATAAATAGGTACTACACTACCTTTTTCTCCATTTTTCTAGCATTTTCTTTGCTCTCATAACCTTGTTGAACCGCTCGGTTAGCCAAAATACACCATTATCTCCCATGAGCTTCCAAACCTCTATTGATATACCATCTGGTCCCAAAAGCCTTTCATATCTTCATCTTTCTGAAAGCTTCTTTCACTTCGGATATTTTAATCCCATAAATCTATAACCTCCGACCTCAATAACATCAAAGGTTTCTCTAACGTTGTGCCCCCGGAATGGTCGTCATTTAACAATATTTGAGAATAAATTCTCCAAAAGTCATTGACTTTGTCATCCTTCACTAAGACCCTTTGATCCTCACTCTTAATGCATTTAACATGATCCAGATTCCTACACTTCCTCTCTCTCATATTTGCTAGTTTGAAGATATCTTTTTTCACTTTCTCTTGTCCCCATTTATCGTATAGATCATCATATGCCTTAAGCCTAGCCTTACTGACTATTTTCTTAAAGTTCTTCTTAGCATTTTTCATATTCTTCTAAGTTTTGATCATTTCTATTCTATTCCCAAGCTTTGTAATATGATCGTTTTTCACTAATAGCCTTTTGAACCTCATCACCCCACCACCAAGTTTTCTTATCTGAATGTCTTTTTCCTTTAGATTCTTCTTCTGCTGCTTTCTTAATACAATCAGCCATCTCATTCTACATAATATTGACTTTGTCATCAAAATTCTATTTTCCATCTTTTATCAATTTATTCATAAATAAATTTATTGTCTCCATTTTTAAATTCCACCACCTAGTTCTTGGACACCTATTAATTTTACTCATCTTTCATCTCTTTATATATTACATGGTCAAAAAAGGCTCATGGGATAAGCCATGTTGCCTTCTTAACTAGAAAAAAGTCTATCTGGCTTTTATGTGATCAATTTTGGTAAATTATTAAATGTTCACCCCGCTTTTTAAAGTAAGTGTTTGCTATTGCAAGGTCGTAGGCCATAGCAAATCAAAAATAGAATCACTCATCTCATTTCTTTCCCCAAATCTATATGCTCCATGTATCCTTTCATATCCTCTACGATCTTTTTCCACATGACCATTTAAGTCCCCTCCTAAAAATGTCATCTCCCTATTTGCTATTCATTGAACTAGTCCATCTATGTCCTCCCAAAATTGTCATTTAATTCTATCATCTCGTTCTACTTGGGGCATATAAACACTAAGTACATTAACTATCTCCTCTCCTAACACAAGTTTAATTAATAGGAACCTATCACCTACTCTATAACATCTACTACTTTATTTTTTATGTATTTGTTAACCATTATACCTAGGTCATCTCTATTATTTACACTTAGTTTCCTGCAAGCAAACTAGTTAACTCTTCTTAGTCTCATTGTATCCACCAACTTCATACTCTTACCTGTTAGAGTTCCTACATTCCATGTGGCCATACGAATCCTATTCTCTTGGACTAGTTTCTTTACCTGTGTTTGTCCAAAATAGCATGGGAACCCTTGCCAACTTATCACCGTAACTGGGCATCTTTGAGGGGTGTCACTTCTATGGAACGCCCTAGCTAACTCTCGCACATTTCCCCTTGCACACAGGTGCTGGTACAACACATGGCTTACAGGGAACGCCCTAGCATGAGCAAATAACATTGGATCAGAATTCATGATGGAGATGTGGCAAAGTTTTATGCTGGCTGCCAACCTAATACAACCCTCCTCCTTGTACATTCCAATTAAGTGAGGTGACTAAAGTCATAGTTCAACAAAATTGTACCAAATGTTCGTTACCATAAATTTAGTTAAGGTGAAGAAGAATATGAAGGCCTCTCAAATAGATTTTATCGCATTCATTTGAAATAAATCTTGAACCTCCCTCCCTCCCTCCCTCCCTCTATATGAATCATATCAAAATAACTTCAATTATGGGTTGAGCCACATACATGGGTAACCACTTAGAAAATCTCAGCAAAAACTCTAATCTTCAAAATAGTTTTCATGCATATCTCATATTGGGCCAAGATAGGCATCAATGGAAAGGTATAACAAGAGGAGACGAAGAAGTCAAATGGTTCAGAATATTTGCAAAGCTATACATGTGACTGAAATTCCATTTGTTTGAGCAAGATTACTGAAAAATAAATATTTAACTTCGACAACCTTCAAAGACTACATGATCCAAATTTCATTTATGTTCAATCGTCAGATGCATGAGAATTCAAAGAATAAGGGTTCCAGCTCAAAGCAGGGCTTCAACCTGTGCTCTAATACCATGTCAAATAAATATATTAAGAAAAGGAAGTACGATTTTGTGACGTTGTGAATCTATTCAAGGCATTTTATCTGCAAATCAGCCAAAGCGGCTTACCATAATGATACAATTCATTGAAAATGAAAAGCTTAAAAACACCCTTACATGTATCACAAACCATTAAGCAGCCTATAGATGTACAATATTCACATGATTGGCAAATATGAATCTAGAGACAGAGTAAGCCCTATTGCCATGTAAATACCAGTGAGAGCAATATTTGAAATAGCCCCTAATGCCATGGCCATACACCTTGGATATACCAGACAAGAACACTAAACTGCATGCTTTTGTTGTAGTACCTAACTAACAAGTGAATTATCCCACAAATATTAGAAGAAATGTGTGATCAAATACCTGCAGATGCACTTATAAACTTATGAACATGGAATGCACACAAAAATTTTCATGATTATTGTTCTTACAAAAGAAAGACATCCCTCTTCCCAATTCCTTTCCCAAAGTCAATGTTGAGCATGCCACTATAGGGCTTCAACTTGACCTTTTCACCTGCATTAAGAAAGTTAAGTATAATATGTTTCCACATGCCTCAAAAAAGAATGCCCACAAAAAATACCATACATCAAAGTATTGGAGAAATTGACCTTTATTATAAGCGATAACATCTTCCCCAAGAAGAAGAAAACTTGTAGCTAATATGGTGGGCCCAGCACCACCAGAACCTGCTGTGTAATAGTAGAATCTGGAATGGAAAGGTATAGGTGTTAGCTGTCGATTTCCTCTAATCACTTAGAAAAACACAGTTGCAGAAAGTCTACTCAGTGATTATTTGAACTTTCAGTGCAGCTTCCCTCAAGATTTTTACTAGCTCTATTGAGTTAAACTGAACCATATTTTTCTCCTCCAAATTATTACTTGACAATGCTCCATACCAGCGCTCAAAACTGGTTCTATAAGGCAACAAATAATGTATTTCCAAGTCCTCTGGGGTTTCAGTGATACAACTAGCAGATACAGATAAACGATATTGAGAGGCACTGCATCTATGGGTAAGCACTTGATCTAATTAATTAATCCATTGCTGTATCCCTACACTTGCTAATATCAATGGGAAGGATTGAAAAACTAGGATACAGGTTTTACAATTCGGAACCATAAGATTAGGCACCGGAAATTAAGGATGTATGAAAGTCATGATGCATTTTCCCTTAGAATGATAAAAAAAGTATACCTGATGTGGAAGAGAATGTTGATCTTTACCTTAATCTTTCTGGCACAGAACTGCTTTCAATCTTTGCCTCGCGTACAAGCTCAGCTGCCATCACTGTCATATTGAGCAATGTTTTAAGCAGCTACAACATAGATATCTATCTTTTAGGGAGATTCAGCACCGGAAAGCAGCAAGAAGTCACAAGATGGACTATCCATGCAGAAATCATGACATGTTATACTTTCTACAGACGTTAGATAATGATTATCAGTCCATAGTTGTGCAGCTTTGTCAAGAATAAAGAAAACAATTAACATTTCATGAATCGTGATCAGTCAAGCTCAATTTTCATTCACATCCATTCTAATATCCTTTCCAATTTCAATGTCAGCCAAACATTCCCTGCATCCATGGATATTTTGTTCCCAAAAAATACAACAGACCAAATTAGAAAGTCTTATATAAAAATTTTCAAATTCCAACAATGTATATCAGCCCAAACCCACAATTATGACTCAAGGAAAAACTCTACATAACAAGAATATGTTCATGAGAGTGAGAGAGTAGACAAGAAACACGACATGCTGTATCTGTCAATGCACCTTCAAAATTGTGTCAACCTTGACATCTCAGTGATTTCTGTACAACTATGAGATGCGAGGGAATATGAAATTGGATTTGCATATAAAATAGTTTTCACAATTAAATAATAATAAATTGGATAAGAAAATATTACACGCGTCCACTTTGTAGATACGAGTGCCCAAAGTTCTATACTAGACACGGGTGTCTCCATGAAAATGTGCATCTGGAACATGGATATGTGTCCAAAAATGTGGACGTAAGACAATGAAATTTTGTGCTCCATTGAATTCCTCATTCAGCAAGACTTTAATATCAATGTTACGTGCCTCTTAAGAAGTTCCTTTGAGGTATCTTGCTATCTTTAGATATTGTTCTATCCAGCACATGCATACTTCAGACTCCACAAGTTTTTATATGAAACATTGCAAATTGATAACCACTCTGGAATTTCCTTAATGTGAATATGGAAAAACCACTCATAGGCATCTGTTTTCCCAGCAAGCAAATGACAAGAACATTGCTAAACTTTCAGATAACTTCTCCTGTAAGTGCAAACAACTGCTGCATTTTCATGCATCAATCAACACAAATCAGCACAGAGGTGGCAGTAAATGCATCTCAACCCCCAGTAATACCTCTCAAATTTGGCATCAAAGTTTGCAAGCCAAATTCTCCTATATGCATGCTTTCACAATTGTGATTAACCCGGCATCCAGGGTAAAAGCCTCTCTACCATGGGGTCCTGTATTTTCTTGGACTCCAAACTATCCTGTAAGGCACCAAGAAATGATCAGGTAGCCAATCAGAAAAGTGTTGCAAAACACCATATGTGGGTGAGTACGAACTTCCTAGTTTTTTGGGACTCTCTTTCCATTCAAGGATCATAGCATTGGCCTTGCATACAAGTCCTATCCAGGGAAAATGTACGCCAGATGCATATGAAAGAATATTCTCAGATGAAGTGTATTAATATAAGCTATCTCTTAATCAAGGAGAAAGTTAAGGTAAAGCAAATTAATATAAGATTTGTATCATATAGGACTGAATTGCAGATATATTCATGAAACATGTAGCAAAGGTTAGGTATCATTCTTTTACCCAACTATGAACGCATGCTGTTGCATCTAAGCAAGTGGGGAAATGTTGAATTATGTAGTTCTCAATATTTCTATGCTATGTCTTGCAATGTAGTTTCAATGTTTTTAGGAATCTAAATGTGCCATTGGCTACATCATTCAAGGTCTTTATGTGAGGGGCCCTCTGTCGTTTTAAAGGTAATTGTATTATTAGTCCTAATGTATTCTTATTTGCTTCACAAATTTTATCTTGTCAATCAAAAGTCAGAAAACAAGATCATTTTTTCTTTTTAACCAAGACAATTTTAAAATTGAGTGGGTGAAGGATGGGAAGAATGGCCACTACTCATTAGATCTAAAGTTGGTTTGGATGTAATCATTATCAACGATAATTCTCTCATCATCATCATTATCATCATCATAAAAGCCTTTTCCCAACTATTTGGAGTAGGCTACATGAATCCTGCTCCGCCATTCTACTCTATTAAGGGTCATACCCTTAGTGAGGTCAAAGGTGCCATATCTTTTCTCAACTACTTCCAACCATGTCTTTTGGAGCCTACCCTTTGCCCATTTTTAGCCTTCCACTTGAACCAACTCGTACCTCCTCACAGGTGTTGTATTGGGTCTGCGCTGCACATGGCTAGCCCATCTAAGTCTACTTTCTCTCGTCTTATCACCTATTGGAGCCACACCTAAGTTCTCCCGAATGTATTCCTTTCAAATTTTATTCCTTCTTGTCTTGCCACTCATTGATATCAATATCCTCATCTCAGCTACACTCATCCTATGGGTATATTGTTTCTTGACCGCCCAATATTCTGCCCTATAAAACAAAGCTAGAGTCACAACGGTCCTATAGAATTCCCCTTCAGCTTCATTAGTAAGTGGCGATCACATAAAACTATGGTTGCACATCTCTATCCCGCCCACCCAACCCTAATTCTATATGCGACATCTTCCTCAATCTCTACATTTTCCTTCAAATTCTATTCCTTCGTCTTGCCACTCATTGATCTCAACATCCTCATCTCAGCTACACTCATCCTATGGGTATATTGTTCTTGACCGCCCAATATTCCGCCCTATAAAACAAAGTTGGTGTCACAGCTATCCTATAGAACTTCCCCTTCAGCTTCATTAGTAAGTGACGATCACATAGAACTTTGGTTGCAGATCTCTATCCTGCCCACCAACCTCTAATTCTATATGCGACATCTTCCTCAATCTCTACATTTTCCTGAATTATCGACCCAAGATATTGAAAGTGCGCTCTTTATGGTATTTATTGGATCACCAATAATTCTCTATTTCAATAAAACTAATTATGAGAATGAATTATTTGTTTTTGACAATGTCCCTCACAAACTATCTGAGATAAAATTATAAGCAGTTTTATACACAAGTTTATCTTTTTGGAAAGTTGTTTTTACTTTTTTCAAAGTAATTTGCCAAAAATAATATGTTTTAGCCAGAAATAACAAAAACTAGTTGAAACCATCAAAAAAGTTAAGTAATTAAATAATAGTATATGTAATACAAGTTATGTAACAAACAGCTAACCAAATAATAATATGCAAAGTATATTAATTTCAGATAAGATAATCTAGTTCTGATAGGATGAATTGTCATCCAAACAGGCCCCTAAAACTTTCCCTTTACCAACCATTCTTATGCTAATGATGTGAAAAAATGAAATGCACAAGGACTTGGAGTCTCATATAAACAAAAAACCCAATATAAATTCCAACGCAGAACTTAGTTTGCTTGTGACTAACATGCTCCCTATCCCACAGGCACTATGTAAGCATCCAATGAACTGAGAGTTGGACAATCCCATTTCAAATCTTTCATATTTTCAACTTCATTTTGAAAACATATATTTATCCATAGAAACTTTCATACAGGACAAACAAAACAACAATCTCACTTTTCTAAGTAAATACAACTTGTTCACTTTTACACCAAGCTTGCCAAAAATATTAAATTACCACTGCTCACTCCTGGGTAAATTCCAGCTGTCGTTATGGCTGGAACTTCAGCTGCTACTGCTTTCTCATGGAAAGATTTTGCACATAAGGCATACGTCCTATCATCACACACATCCACATAGGGTGTCTGTAACATAAAGGAGTATTTGCAGAAGATAGAAAATGTAAGGGTTGTAACAATGAAATTAAAACATCCAACCATAGTAAAAACATGCCCACTTAAGAGAATCTGAACTAAGAAATATCAGAAATAGTCTTTTACACATTTGCCACCTTCGTAGAGATTGCGACTTCCAGAACACTACATTTTTCTTCCCTTTGAAAAGGTCCTGCGGCATGAACTACAAGATCCACATCTGCATTTAAAGAATTTGATGTAGCAGCATGTTCAGCAAGAATGTTCAGTAGACTTGGACATATGGATCAGCACCCAATCCCAAGAAAGAAAATGCTACTTTACACATGTATTACATGGTTTTTGCTTTGAAAACAAAAAGTTCACATAAACAAGAAAGCAAGCATTGGTGGACCATATTCCTCAAGAACTCCAGAGTTCATCAAAATAAGTGCCGCAAAGCCCTATACTACAACTAAATTTACATTTGAAAAAACAACCATCTTTATATAACAACAAGCAAGTGTGATCTGCATTCTGATCAGTATTGTCGAGAGAATTTACATTTGAATATATGCATAACTAGGGAGATTTCTTGTTGTTAATTATCGTACGTGCAAACATCTCAAGACAGGAATTTGACCTCTACATGTACACCTATGGGAATCTGATAACTCGTTCTAACTTAGTTGAAGACCTTGGATTCTACTCAAATATGACTTTCAATTTAATCCGAAATAAAATATGTGGGTCAATAAGGACAATGATCAACAGTTCCACCAACATGAACACTTTCACATGTGGAATAAAAAGCACAAACAACAGCTCACACAGATATCAGCTCCTCATATTGTATTCAATACAATATCAGATGACATGATTTTACTATCCATATTCTTGTATCAACAAAAGAAGCAAAAGTCTTAGGTTTCTCAAAGCAGATGCCCCACACCCATCAGATGCAAGGCCTAAATATGCAGAAAAAAATTTACATGAAAACCAATTCTCACAATGACCAAAAACTTCCGTTCAATAACAAATGAAGGACTAAATCCTGTATATGTATATCTAAAAATAGAGAGACCAAAAGCAATTAAAGGAATAACATGGCCTATATATATATATATATATATATATATATATATATATATAGTAAC